GGACGGCTGGTCGTGACGTCCTTCGGTCTGGAGTCCTTCTTGAATTTCTTCTGTTCGTCGTATTTTTGTGCCTCCTGTTGGCGTTTCAGTTTCCGGAACGGCGGCCTTGCTGGCACCTGACTCTGTGGCCGTGTGCGCGTTCTCCTTGACGTGTAATTTCTCCTGCCATCTTTTGTAGGTGGTGTTTTTCTCTTTACCACGGTTTCTTTACCCGGTTCATCTGTATTTTTGTTTTTCTTAAACGCCGGAGTTTGAAAATCATTTTTTCTTTTTGATACCGACGTCCGGGTTGTAGAAGTGCTAGCTCTCTCTTCAGTTCTCTGTTTCTTGGGTGGTGGAATAGTTGTTGTAGTCGCTGGATCTTCTATTTCGTTTAGACTTGAGTCCTGCAAGAAACTTTTAAGGATTTCAAATCATTTGGATTATAGTATTTTTTCACCTGGTCGGGACTTGCTTTACAGATTTCCCCTCTGTCGTTCTTAAGATATAATACTACCCCTTTGATTTCCTGAATTACATAGGGGCCTTCAAACTTTGGAGCTAGCTTTGCCATAAAATTGTCTGGGGCACTTGATAAAGAAAATTTCCGCTTCAATACTTTATCCCCAACTTTAAAATCTGCTTCACGGCGTTTTCTATCCTAATAAATTTTCTGTCTATTTCTTGCCGTATCCGAGGTTTTAAGCGCCTGATCAATCAACTTTTGCACATCTTGTTGTTTAAACTCCTGCTCTCTTTGTTGCACAAAGAATAATTTATCTAAAGGCGTAATTAACTTTCTGCCTAAAAATAATTCTGCTGGAGTTTTTCCCGTAGTATCATGATGTGCCGTTCTTAAAGCATAAGCTAATTCATTTATGTAGCCATCCCAGCGCTTGTGATGTGTGCTCACGTAACTGCGAATTATTTTTACTATGTTTTTATTAACTCTTTCTGCTATGTTAGCTTGTGGTCTATACGGAACCATTTTGATATGGCGTATGCCAAGTCCATTGCATATGTTTTCAAATATTTGACTAATGAATTGTTTTCCCTTATCGCTAATGACTTTTATCGGTGCACCGTATTTTAAAATGTATCTGTGTAAGAATGCATCTGCGACTGTTTTGGCTGACGCGCGTTTAAGTGGAACAATTTCTATCCATTTTGAAAAATGATCTACTATTACTAAAAGAAAACGATTTTTATTTAACTCGCTCTGGGGGAAGGGACCAAGGAGATCTATGCCTAAAATTTCATTCGGAAATGTAGCGCGAATGCTATTTAAGTACCCGGCCGGGCTGTAATTAATATCATTTATTAACTGACATTGATTGCAGGACCTGACATACGCCGTTACTATTTTGTATAATTGCGGGAAATATACCGCCTCGCGTACCCTTTTTATAGTCTTTCTGACCCCTAGGTGGCCCGCTGTTTTTTCTTCGTGCAACTCCTTCAAAATGCTTAATCGAAGCGAGGCTGGGATGACTGGCTTATACTCAAGATTTTCGTTTGTTGTTTTCGTATAGAATAATAAATTATCTATTATTTCATAGTTTTTTGCTCTATTTCTTATCGCATCGATATCTGTGTGCTCGAAGCTTTCGGGGTCTTTCAAATACGCATAGATATTTCCAAATTCAAGATCAGCTTTCAGTTCAGTAATAACCGTATCTCTAGAATCTAAAATTTTTGAAGTCAACACAGCGCATTTCAGTTCATTTCCTTCATCGTCCAGTTTTATACGAGAAAGTGCGTCAGCTACATTGTTTTCCTTACCGGGTTTATATTTAATTATGAGTATTATATTCTTGGAGTTTTAAAGCCCATCTTATTAACCTGGGCGTTAGGTTTTTCCCCGAGTAAAGTTCTACCAACAGCCGCATGATTCCGAAAAGACTGTTACTGGCGATTTGCCGAAATAAACTCGAAATTTCTGTACAGCCATTAATACGGCTAATGTTTCTCTCTTCTGTAGCTGTATAATTCCTTTGTGTCTGTAGAATTCAAAAGTTTTACTAAAAAATGCCAGCGGATGGTTATTTTTGCATAGAACCGCTCCCACCGGCAGAGTTCTGACGCATCTGCTGCAATTTCCAGGTTTTCGTCCCCCTCAGGGAATTTCAAAACAGGGGCATTAATAAGCGCTTCTTTTAATCTTTCAAAAGCTGTGTTAGCTTCCGCTGTCCACGTAAATTTAGCCCTTTTTTCTTTTGATTACTAAGAGTGGTTCAACAATATTAGCGAAATCTTTTATGATGAAAGATCGATAGTAAGAACATAATCCAAGGAAAGATGAAAGTTTCTTGGCGGTGTTGGGCGGTGGGAAATTCTTAATAGCTTTATTTTTTGAATCTTGCGTTTCTATACCCTTTTGCGAAATTTTATAACCGAGATATTTAAGTTCTTTAGTTGCGAACTTACTTGCATTTTGAGGCGTTAATTGTAAGACCGGCCTCTTTTAATAATTTAAAAACTTGTTCGAGGTCATTAATGTGTTGTTCCAACGTATTACTCGTTATAATTATATCATCTAGATAAATTAAAGTTGATTTTCCTAGGACAGGCTTTAGAACAATGTCCATAGCTCTCTGGAAAGTTGATGGGGCCCCACACAACCCAAAGGGCATGCGTAAAAATGCATAAGTGCCCGATTTTGTTATAAACGCGGTTTTATGTATATCTTCGGGTCTCATAGCTATTTGATAGTAGCCAGACGTTAAGTCCAAAGTAGACATATATCTTGTCGATTTGATCTGTCTAATGATCTCGTCTATAACCGGCAAAGGGTAAACTGGAAATTTGGTAATACTATTTAGTTTTCTGTAATCAATAGCAAACCTCCAAGCCCTTTTCGAAGGAGGAAACTCGTTCTTTTTCCTACATAGTACGACTGGACTCGCGTACTCACTATTTATGGGCGTTATTATTTTATTCTTTAACATCTCCTGAATATGTTCTTCGATGATTAAGTCTTTTTGTTTGTCATAACGGTATGGCTTAGTCCTACAAGGTTTTTCGGCATTTAATTGAATCTTATGTGTTATTATTTGGCAGTTTCCTGGTTTTTCTGAAAACAAATGAGAAAAATTACTCACCACTTGCTGTATTGCTTTACTTTCATGGTCATTCAGATGGCTAAGGTCCAATTCAGGTGTCTCCACAGGTTCCACCACCCTCTGGTCCATCTCCAACACCACGGAACTATCTTGAAAATTTAATTTGGCCCTCGCGGCCCTTAAAAAGTCCATACCTAAAATAAGAGAGTGTTGCAGGTCTTTCACCACAAAAATTAATACTTTGAGATTTTCCTCTTTTACCTTACCTGTAAGTTTAATGATAATTTCCCGATGCAGTGACATGTTTTTCCTTGCGCCGCTATAATTTCCGTATTTCTGGTTTTAAATAATCGTATCCTATAAAAATTCTTTTTGAAGAAATTTTCACTCATAAAATTTCCTTCTGCTCTTGTATCGATGAGGGCTTCTACTGGTACATCGCCAAACAGGACTTGTATAATTGGTAGCTGTGAGTTTTTTACGATGACCGTGTAAATGTCTATTTGAGGGTTTTTTTAAAAATTCCGGGGTCTGGACCCTCCCTTTCACATGCCCCTCTACTCGTTTAAAGCTTTCCTGTCAATCTGTGTCTTCTGGGTACGCGGATGTTTATTTTCAAATTTTCTTTTTGGGCCTTGACCTTCGAGTTTCGATGCGTTAGCTTGATAGTTCATTCCCCCATAAGAGCGATTTCCATTTCTGGTTTCCTCCTTTGAAGATTTTCTTCGGGTACTTTGAGAATATGTTTCCCCTCTCGCTTTTTCCGCTATTCTGCGATTTTGAAACTTCACCAATTCGAAAAGTTCCTGCAATGTGCTTGGGTTTCTAATTTCAAAGTAGTCTTGAACAGCGGGTAACAATCTTGGTAATATTATTTCAATAATCTCCGCATCGGGTTTCTTTCCATACAGCATATCCGTTAGCTTGATTTTTCGTAGAATAAAGTCCGTCAATTCTGCTGTATCCCGTTGATAGAAACTATATAGCTCGGCTTCCAGCCGTGCGCGATCTTTCACTATGGGGAAGGCCTTTACTAACGATTTTTTGAAATTTTCAAATGTATACGTCGGGCTTCCAAATTCACCTAGTAAAAATTTGCCTGTGTTTTCCACCATAGCGCGGCCTGTCCTCTTAGTGCTGATGTGGCGATGGCAACTTTTTGTCTTTCAGGCACAAAGGGTAGAGCTGAAAGTGGTTTTCTAGACCTTCTAGAAATACCGCCACCGGATTTTTTCCGTCGAAATGGACGTTTGGCTTGATTGATGCTCTCAAAGTCTGGACCAGGTATCCAAATCCTTCTAACTGAGTTGTCATTTCTTGGTGTTGTCCAGCGGCTTCCATCCAGTTTTCGGCCATTTCAGTTCGATAATTGTTCGGGCGCCAATATAACGTTGCGCGCCTCCAACTTGCACGCAACCAAGAGGTGACTGTGAAAGCTGTATAAAACGCAGAGTCTTGTAAAGGGTTTAAGTCCCTTTTTATTCAACGTAATAAATTACAATTGCGTCCTCTTGACGCTTACAGACGGTGCCAACTCGGCAGTCAAATAAAAATAATAACCTGAAAAGAAACTAAAGACATGATTCTAACTACGAGGCTCTCTAAAATAACTAACTCACCGCGTTTTACAATACCGCTGCTAATTCAGCAGACTTGAAGCTCACTGGAACGATTAACACTACTGCCAAGCACATAGGCCGAAACGCGGGGTCCTTCAATTTCTCGCTCACTACCTCCGCGCTCGTGAAGTAAGAATATCACACCGAACTCGTTTCCTTCTATTTAAATCATAATACTTCCGCTGATAATTTGAATCCTTGCGCGTTCTACTAAAATTTACATATTCTGGCATTGGCAGTTCCAGGGGAAAGTAAGGTTTGACAGGAAAGATAGTTTAAACTTAAAATAAATGTTAGTTAAAATAAATATAAACCCTACACCGTGTTACAAATATACTTTTATTGTCCAGTTTTAAATAATTTGTTCATCCATTTTATTTCTTCTTCTTGCCTTTCTCTTTCTTCCCTTTTCCTTTCTTGGCTTTCTGGATTTTGAAAGGCTCCAAATGTCTCCGCACCATCGTTCCGCGCCAAAACGCTTGTATCTAAAATTAATTGAAAAGAAGATGAGATAGAAAGAATTACACAGATATTAATGCATGAATTAATGCGTTTACGAATAGCAGAAATATAAATTTCATACCGCCTTTAACATGCCGCCACGTAATCACTATCGTATTTACATGACAGCCAGACACACTATCCAGAAAATTTATACTATGGTTCACAAATAAATAAAATCACAAATCCCTACTTCTATCACGCACTGCCATTAAAAATAATCTCCCAGACCCTCTCTCCACAGTTCCAAATACCCACTACCCCTCAACAGGATAGCCGCAATCATATTTCCTTTTGCCGAACTTCAATTCAACAACTACCATTTTATCTTTCCCTCCCATTTTCTCAGACACAGAGGGGAACCAACGAGCTCCAGCAAAAGATTTTTCAACGTCAACAGGTTTGCCATAGAACACGCAATCGCGCCAAAAACCAGCCCAGAACACATATCACCACATTTGGTGAAATTAGGGCGTATATTAGAGTTGTACCGGAATTTTAACTATATCAGTGTAATTTTCTTTCAGTTATTATAACATGGAAGGGAAAGAATTCATACCTAGCTCTGTATTTAAAATTAGTTTATTAAATTCCCTAATAAAGAGGGATTTTTGTTGTTTTTAAAGTCGATAGAGTTTAATTCAAAAATATGCCACATTAAGGGTTACTTTTTAACCTAATTTATAATTTTCATTACCTTAACATGTAAAATAATTGTTATTTGGAATGTTATTTTAACTCAGATATTGTAATAATATCAAAATCCCTTACTTTTTGATAGGTAATCCAAATGTGAAACAAGAGAAGAAAAAATTAAAATGTAGAAGTATATTTATTTCATAGCTCTAAGAAACAAAAACAGCATGAGCACTATTTACTGTCTATCTGCATAGTGTGGCATGTCCCGTAAGACTGAGATTTGTATGGTCAAACCCATGTTTCAATTAAAGGAAATGCATGCACAGTCTTCTCATTTTCACTTCGATTAAGGATTCTCTATATACTAACATAAGAAATCTATTAGTTCATGCAGTGTTATACATCAATATTTATAGACAATTGTTGTGGCTATGTTTATTATAATCTTGTTCACCGTAATAGCTGGAGTGCCTAAACCATCGTGCTGTGTAAACAAAACTCAAATCTTCATCTCTGCATACTGCTCCACTAGTGTTTAAACCACTGAAATGGTGATTATGGTAGAACATCTTTGGTAAAAATTTACTCTACGGTAACCCTTGGCGAATTGTTTCTTTTTTGATACCAAGATCGGCACCAATTTCAAGATGGCCACTACACAAAACCAAAATAAGAAGTCAAAGACGTACACAAACTTGGTGTCCATGTACACATCGACCTATTTTAACTTAAAAAAAAAAAAAAAAAAAAGAGAGAGAGAGAACTGCACAAACTAGGCATTGTGCACTGCCTTAACTTTGCCCATGTACACATCGATCTATTTTCACTTTAAGAAAATCAGAAAGTTAAAACTATCATGTTAACCAGAAAAAATTCGCCGCTGTCTTAAAACACAGAGACAACCAAAAATGCACAAACAGAGCAGAATAAGTTACAAAAAATACATATTTCCTAACATAAAAACATTAAACAACAAATCTTTTAACAAAAATTAACACACAGAGACGAATAAATAAATGAAACGTCATTTTTTAACATACCTTTTTTTTCAAATGCATACGTTTAGGCTTCCCACCACCATCTCTTCCATCCTCCAGGTAAGCAATTCAATTAAAGTTTTCGTCTCTTAGTCACTCTCAGACATACTCAAATGATGGTACCCCCACCAAAATAATAGCAAGTTCAAAATACAAGACCATACCACTTACATGAAACCAAACACTGCAATTGAAAAGAATGGTAATAACCAAAAACCCGGGTCCATACAAAAGAGTTACTATTACAAAAAAAGAGCCCAAAACTAAATTTATCACAACACATTGACAATATTTGCGGAAATAACCCTTTTTTATTGACAAAAACTTAATTTCCCTCCCAAGGATACTTTCGCTAACATTATCAACATTAGGGTTACCAAAAAACTTATTTGACACAATGGGCTTCCAGATTTCATGAACAACCAATACCACTTTGCGATTTTTTTCAGACAGAAACCAAGGTGTACCATACAGCAAAGATTAGCCACATCTTCATTTACTACTGTTACAACATAAAATATATACTTCTTTGGTAGATTTCTGCAGTTAAATTCAAAAGTTTAAAATGAATAAAATCTAATCTGTGCAGAAAATAAAATCTGTATCGTGATCAGATTTTATTTTCTGCACATGGTTAACAATCACTTATGTGTTTTTCAGATAAATGTTACCAGATGCAGTTAATTATTTTTTACTTTACTTGCCAATCTCATGAGACAAGTTTTTTTTTGCTCCTGCAAGATAACTTTACTTTGTGTTGTTACAAATAAATTCATTCTCATTCTTTTTTGGAATTGCCTACACATTAAATTTTAAATAGTTTTATGATTAGGTAAGATGTGATTATCATAATTTTGTTTCTCTCTTTATCTTGGCAACTTTATATGTTGATTCGGCATCCAGGTTACCTACCAGTGGTTGATTGATAAAACTGCTCATATGTTCAGCTGGTGGTTTGAGTTTATTTTCTGACATAAAAAATTTTAAAAGGCATTCCCCATATTTATTTTACTATAATCGAATAATCAAATAATTGCTACTCTGTTTATAGGTACTAAATGTTAAAATATTTTAAATGCTTCCTTTAATTTGCATTCTAATAGTCATTTGCTTAAATTTAATTATAAATTATATTCGCATATAGTAATTGTGAGTGTTTTTTTATTTTAGGTGCTGTGAAAGGCAATGGCAGAGATCCAGTTTATCAAGAGTTCTTATATACATAAGAATACATATTTTTTTTTTACATGGATCTAAGATTATTTTTCAGGAATTAAAAGAAAATGTCATAAATTGGATTAATAAAAACTATTTTGAATTTTGAAAAGCGTTTTTCCTCTGTTAATCATAATATAGTGCCATAAATTTCTGAAAGTGTTTATTTTTCATCCAAATAGGTTTACAAAATTTGTCATATTAATAGTTATTGCAGGATTTAGCATTATTATAAATATTTATAACAGATTTAGCTGAACTACTTTTTTAGTCTCTCTGCAGATGAAGTCACAAGGGTAAGTGGTTAGATATTTTTCTGTATTCCCTATTAAGTAATTTTATCTGGTAAATTACCATTGTAAAAGGGTCATTTTAGATAGGGTCATAGAAGAGTCCGGTATAGTGTAACAAATATTTATTAACAGGTTTAAGTTACACACGGACATTACATTTAACTTTAAGAAAAATTACAGAGCAACAGTCTGGTACAACCTATCTAGTGGGAGCCTTGGCTTTTACTGAAGTACTTCTCCGGCTACTCACCAGAGGGCAGCCTTGTTGTCACAGTTAGTACAACAGTTTATGTTAACGGATTGGTGTTACACCATTACTTATATACTAAAGATGAAAGAATAAGCTTTCCTTGAAAATACAAAAATTTTTAGACATTTAAAAAAAATTGGTATACGTAAAAAATTCTCAAACTGCCACATATGCGAAACTTAAAATGTTATATATGAAATATTTCAAAATATAAATATTTTCACTATTTGTTAACTATAATTCACTGCATTTGTTATATATAATCACAGATTAAGGTAGTAGTGCTTTTCTCACTCTGATTTCTCATGTATTTTGATTCATAAATACATGTATTTATAACACGTACATAAATCCACATATTTTGATTTCTCTTTTGAGACCGAATAAAAAATGAACTAAACATTTTCGTTGATATTGAGAGTTGAACAACAGCTCACCTCAAAATAAAATGAATTAATAAATTTATGGAAAATTTTACAAAGCGTATATTAAACAGAAAGAATAAACTGAATATACTTAGAAGTATTAATAATTGGTAGAGCTGATTGCAGAATAAAATGCCTTAATTGCATGGTAAACAGTAGATCTTCTTTTGGAGTTTTTCTGTGTTGCGTAAAATGCAGATTTAAATTTTTGATATTGATTGTCATATAAATGGCAATTACTGCTTTATTTTGCTCTGAAATGAAAGGTTAGTAATAAAATTCTGGATGAGATAACCTTTAACAAGCGCTAGAATTTACAAAATTTAATTTGGTGCTGATTTCAACTGGTAAATTTCATTTTACTGAATTTTGCATAAACTAATACCACTGAACCAGTGCAAATTATTTTAAGAACTTTTTTTTTAATCCAAAAGGGCTATTAGTCTCGAAATGTGACTTCATATCGTCAATCGTAAACTTGTCTCGCTTTTCCTCCAAGTCTTGCCATTTGGCAAAATTTAACATATTTATCTTTAAAATCTAATCTATTACAATGTATTTTTTTACTTTTTAATTTTCTGATTGCTTTAAAATGCATTTAATTCATGATATATCTAATTGAAAACATTTAATATTTTTATATAATTACATGATATATTTCTTCACTTTTCAAATATACAGAAGATATTTAACTTTCTGTTGTCAGTATCTTATAAAATGTTTTGCTATTTCTACTGCTCCGTCTGTATTGATAATCTATGCACTTATAAACTTTGAGCCCTTTTAAGTGACTGCTAAAATCTGAGGCCTTTCAGATTTTATTTTATTTTTTAATTTTTTTTTTTTTTTTTTTTTTGTGTGTGTGTGTGTGGTGTGAGTAGAAAGAATTTTAAAAGAGCTCCTTGAGTTACTTTTTGAATAATGTAAAGAATTATTAACATAATGTCAAGAACATAATTTTTACAACTAAATATTAAATATATGAAACAGCCTGCAGCATTTTCATGTTACGAAAACATATTTATTTATTCTGTGGCTAGGAATTAATTTAGTTTTAAAAATACAATTTATTCCTTTTAACAATTTCCCAACAGTCTCATCAAAACACTAAAATTTCTTTACATGTTTTAAAGAAACATGATTCATTTATGTAAAGATTATTAAATGGCTAATTTTATTATTGAATTTTTAATACAAATTAACTGAAATTAGAAACTGATTTTGTAAAATAGTTTAATTATGAATACTTCAATTTGGGGACTATTGGATGTTTAAAAATGTTCGAAAGATTTTTAATATCTTAAAAATAAAAGCAAAATTTTCTGTTATAATATTTTGTATTAATAATTCATTTTAATTTCCTTGCTCAGTTTTAATATATTCACAAATTCAGTTTTAAAAACAAAATAAGTTGTATAAATATTCTCAACATTTCTGATTTTTCCAGAGTAACCCTAGGAGAAGGATTTGAGACTGTCTGTGTAAAATAAATAGGTTTTAGATCATCACAACACCTTCACATACTTTCACTGGAAGTTTCTTTGTATATATACTGGGTATTAAGCAGTGAAGAGAATGTATTTAAAAGGTTAAAGTGATATTGTAACTAGTAAAAATTTGAAATCCTGATAATATCCCATACGCTGTCGGTGGGACCTAGATAGGATGTCCTAAGGATATACTGGGATGTGACATTAAACACTCAGGAGGATGAGTTTAGGAGGAAACTGGGATATTACGGGATGTCCTGAGGATGTAGTAAGTAGGACGTTAAATCCTAATAACGTCCCATACGCTGTCGATGGGAGATAGATAGGATGTTTTTAGGATATGATGGGATGTGTTTAGGAGGTTAGTGGGATATCCCGGGATGTCCTGAGGATGTAGTAAGCAGGAGTTCATATCCTAATAACATCCCGCACGCTGTCGATGGGACTTAGTTAGGATGTCCTGAGGATATCCTGGGATGTGACATTAAGCACTCGGGAGGAGGTATTTAGGAGGTTTGCGGGATATTCCGGGATGTCCTGAGGATGTGCGCATATCCCGCGATCAACATCCTCGGGATATCCCAAGGATGTTTTTGTACTATGTCGGTCTGCAGCAAATTCTTACCGGTTTAGATCAGAATGTACTCGAACACAAGCCAAAAGCTTTATAAACCCTGCGGGTACAAGGTGAGTGAGTGTGTCTCATCTAGTTAGTCCGTGCGGAGATGAACGAGTTGGCAGCCGGCCAGCGAGTGCCGAGTGGGTCGTCGAGTGCATCGAAAAGTCTCTTAGTGTATCGCGGTTAGTGCATCGTCGAGAGAGTGTGTTAAGCTCCGAGAATGACTGAACCGAAGAGTTGGGAGCTGTGCTCTGTGTGTCGTCGAATGCATCGCGAGTTGTAGCGTGGAGAGTCTCGAGATTACGCAGAGTTCCGAGAACTACGAGCACAGTCGAGAGCTGTACTATGGTGCTTTGCAGTGAAGCTGTCTCCACCTTTATTGCCTGATAGTGTGAAAGCTGTGTCACTGATTGTTCCAGCGTGTTTATTGTAGATTTTCGACGACTGTAAAAGTGTTGTGAAGCTGTCCTGATTAATATTGGCTAAATAAAGTGTGTTTCGATACTTCATGAAGTGCTGTCGTCGTTATTCACTCCAAATCCACACGAACCCCGTACGAACGTGAAGGAAGAAAATAAAGTAACAACTGGCGTCAGAAAAAAAAAAAAAAAAAAAAAAAAAAGAAAAAACCGTAACAATACATTATATTGAATATTCATAACTTAAATTCAGCTTTAGCCCGACTCCACTATTTCTGATTTTTTGAGTGAAACTGTAATTTCAGCCTCAAATAAGACGAGATCAGCTGTTTTTATAATAATAATAATAAGTTAACTCTATTTGTCCTTAATTTAATAATTCATTAAATTTTTATTTATCTCAAAGTTAAGCAAAATAGTATTCTTATTTTCGCTCAAGCGGCAGAGCTGTTTTTGTTCCTGAAGAACAGAGACCTAGTTTTTGTTCAAAATCTATGCCAAAATAAGCTTTGGTTTTTTTGCCTAATTTTGAGTTTTACACCTTTGTGCTTCTTTTCGAATTTCTATTTATCTCTTAACATTTTATTTATTTTTATAGTTTAATTATTAAATATTTTATCAATTAATTAAATATTTTATTTATTTATTTTGGTTTCTCTTTCCTGACGGCATTCCACAAGGCTCTGGCAATTCTAATTTTAGAAATTAAGCCTTGATGCAAAGTCACGTTGTACCAACTGTTATACGCTAGGAGGACTGTACGATACATTGTTTCATGAGTCTTACGAACTATTGTACTAACAGGAACTATACATAAATTCGACAAAAACCAGTTTTTAACTATTCATATATTTTACCTTATATTCTTTACACATTCCAACATTATTGGACTTATTTTCGCAACATAGAACATCTTAATTTCTTCGCAACATAGAACATCTGCTGAAGATTAATTTGTACATGATTGCATGCTGAATATTAATTCGTATTACATGCTCAAGATTAATTCGAACATTAATTAATCTACCATTTGATTCTGAGTATCAAATTAGTGAGATCATTACATATTTTTGCTGAATTTCAGTACTAATATAAAGAGTAATTCTATAAAATTCTTCACGCACAGTATTCTTAAGAAGAAATATTAGAAATTTGAATTTGGAATTGCCATCTGAAAAATCACTTTAGAATTCAGTCAATAATTCAAAATGATTCGTTGAATAAAGGATTAGGACTGAAATGCATCATTCTGTACTTATCGGAAACCCTTTATAGAAATAGGAAAAAAAAAAAAAAAAATTAGGAGAAATCTGTAATGCTCGGTTTAATTTTGGATTAATAGTCCCTTTTTTAATTTATTTTTGTCTCAATAAATTAAAAAAAATGTATAATAATAAAAAACATTTATCTGATTTTTCTGAATGAAATCTTTGCTTCGGTAACGGCAATAAAAAGTGATTGCTTTAGAAAAAAAGATAAAAATTTCTGCCCTAGATTTAAACCGCCTTTTTCTTAAGTATTGTAACAAATGGTAATAAACAGAAAAATTCTCGGATTAGCAGAACAGTTTTCAAACAGGTTTTCCGAACTCTCGTGTAAATTATTCTCCAGCGACCTTTTGATATGGTAACAGCCTTAATCCTAGTTTCTTTTCTTCCTACATATCTTTCCTATTTTATTTTCAAACTGTCGCTAAAATTATTTTTTATTCATGAAATTTTTTTTTTCATTATTCCATGAATATGACATTGTGTCGCGAATTTAGTAATCATTCTTAAAGCAACGCCGTCAAAGAGATTTTTTTATCACGATAAAAGGAAACTAAATACTAATCACAAAAATAAAAAAAATAATAGTTTGTAATAATAATAATAACAAATAATATTACAATTGTAGCTGCTCTATTTATTTTAATCACTTCATCCCGTTTCCTTTGTTCTTCTTCCTTTTCTTTCCTGTCCTTTTCTAGATACTCTTCTCTCAATGCTATCTGAAAATAAATTACTTTTAGAAGTCAAATATCAGCCATCGGAATAACGTATCACTTTCTAAACTTGTGAGCAGCATCCAAATAAGCGAGGCAATAAGTGGTGGTGGTGTATTTAATATGACAAAGCACACTAGGGCTATGTGCCTAAGGGGAGGGATGCTTTCGTGGAGGGCTTTCTAAGGGAAACTGGCTCGTATACACGTTACACATGGGCAAAACCACGAAAACGCCTATGCAGCCAGCCCGTTCGCGGGATTCGAACCTCGGACCGAACTACCAGTGTTCAGCGACTTTACCGCTCGGCCGCTGGTGGGCCGCGAGGAAATAGGAATTTCCATATAATTAATTCACTTAAAATAGGCTTACATTTCGCTTTGTCATATTTTAACTTCTCGAAAATATTTATGTACAACTAATCTTAGCATGCTGATTAATTACTCTAAATCTTTTTCAGTTTCCCTCTAAGAGAACTAGTACATAACTGTCTAAAACAGGGATTAATCCCTTTTCTTTAATTATCGCCTTTTGCTATACATAATATAGCCTTGCATAGGAGAAAATCTGGAGGCTGACTTCAGTGCCAGAAACGATGTATTCTTTCTCAGCACTAGGGCCTCTTTTTTAGCCCAAAGAGGCAATTTGGCCAGCAGAGCTATTAATTTCATTTTGGCATTTTGCGTCGTCCATTATAAAACTATATATAATTTGCGTTTCACTTATATATAATTTGCGTCGTTATATATAATTTGCATTTCACTTTTCAAATTGTTTCCATCAAATATTAGAACCTGGATTATATTTAAAGAGATTAAATAATAAAGAATGTGCATAAATGTATGCATGTTTCTCGCATTCGGATAAAACAACAGACCTAGAGCCATCAAAATTTTGAATAACGTAATTCTCCACCGAATATGGAATTTAGAAGCCCTATTTTGAAATTTGTTTTATTATCGATTTCATGTTTTGTCAACAATTTCAAAGTTATCAATGGCAACACTGTATGAAAAAAAAGGAAAAAAAAAAATTAGCGCGTAAGACTGTGTTTCGGAAATTCTAAAGATATTCTCATTTTAAAATTATTTTGCGATTTTGCTGTTGAATTGAATTTTATAGTTTAATTGCGAAGAACGTGATATTTAATAAATGAAGGTGACACACAAAACATTAAACAATGCCCCTTTGGACGTAATGTTAAATCTGAAATCTTTCAAATTTAAAAAAGAAATTGTTTCAGATTAGGATAGTTGACACAATATATTATCGCCACATTAATTCTGTTATTGGTTTTAAGAGAAAGAAACACACTAAAACTAAAAACACACTTTACACTAAGTTTAAATCATGACACCTTACGTATTAACCTGAAGTGTCAAAAGTTTTTGTTTCCTGGTTTGGCAGCAAAAAATTATTTACGAATTTGTTGCTGCTCGGAAAGATTGAACAGATTTCATTCATACTTTTGTTCATTTTCTTTTCAGGTATACGCAAAACTTATAAATTTTGGTTTCGCTGCAGAGCGCTCATCTGGCAAAATTATTATCCAATCTTCTCTAATGTATAATCGACTCAAATATATATTTAAAGTCACACGGTGTTTAATGATCAAAAGCAAAAGTATGTTCTTTGGAGTTAGAGTCTGATAATTCCATATGCCATCATTTGAAGAGAAAATTCTAGGACATTATTAAGATTCTGCGAATAAATCATAAAGCGCGATGTTTTTCACTATATAGAGCCTCTATGACAATTAAGCCTCACCATTAATTTTAGACTGATTGAAAAATACAAAACAAGATTCCCAACAAATTATTGTAATTTATGGAAGTGTTTGTGTTGAGTGGCCCGTATTTTGTTGTATATTAGCTTTTATTTGTTTATTATTTAATATGTGTTTAATTTTATTGTAATTTTATACTTATTTCTGGAATATTTTTGTTTATTTAGTTTCAGTATGAGGTTATTTAGCATATTTGTACCCAGGTATGAGAGTTAAATTCCCTGAATAGCCACTAATATAAACCATGATATAAGTGTATCGATACCATGTGAGTATTTGTTTTTTAACCTATTTGAACAAATTTTATATACATATGAAAAGCTCTAAAGCTCTTCATATTTTTCTATGAATCAGCATCAAATTTGGTATGAATATTCTTTGGCAGCCCAAGAATAAAATTATGGAGGTCTTCGCTCCCATCCACCCATAAAGTCGAGGAATGTTCTGAAAAATTGCAACAAACAACGTTGATAGAAATATCTGTGAATTTTTGGCAACAATAAAGAATTCCCACATATGAATTCACGCAATAAAGAATTCACAAAGTTAATCACACGTTCTTTGCATTCATTTGGAAGAGAGGTTGATGCGAAATACAAACAGTTGCAACTATATTTAAATGATAACGTTATTTAGGCAAGGAAATGCGACACATGCCTTTTTAAATTATTCTTCAATTTATATATGGCCATATTAACATTTTTAATCCCTTCTGCTCCGTTGCAGACTGCGAAAGTCAGGTGCTATAGTTAGCAATCGGAAGGTCTGTATAAAAGTTTAAATATTTCTTTATTTGAAAAATAGGAAATGTCTTTGATTTCGAATTCTGTTTTGAAGAGTTTGAAAGAAATTTGGCAGTAGAAGTCTAGAAAGAAGTCTTAAAGTTTTAGTGATCGATGATTGGCATTAGCTAATTAGAAAATTTATGTATTTAGAAAATCAAGCATGCTTTGATTTTATTTCTGCATCTCTATTTTCTCTAATACAACCATATTCATGCTTCCCGATATTCACAGACATTCAAAGTTCTCAAGAAAAATGAATTTTAAAACATTATCTGTGGACATACAAAGCATATAGAAACAGTATGAATACTTTTTTCTTCATTCACTTATTTAACTGAAAAATTGTTTTTAGTTAGTTGTTTAAGAACAATTCAGGTATGTAAGAAAAACGAAATAGCAGGAAGATACGTTTTTATTATTTGATGTTAACTATAATATTTTTATATCTAGAGATTCTTAGAACATTCTACATATTTTTAGAGCAATTTAAATTCTATGTTACTCAACACATAGATTTCAGTCTAGCTTTGTAGTTCCATAAACGTAACTGTTAACTGGGCATGACGATATTTTTCATCATGCCTGGAAGACTACCAAAATACGAATGACGGCATTTTTCGTCATTGAAGTTAACCGTATTATGTTGAACGCATTACGTTTTACGTTGTTCTTATAGTATATTTAATCCGAGCGTGGTTATGTGGCATCATATTGCTGACCAGTCATATACATGTACAATTATTTTTTTGCAATCTGGTACTTGAACGCTATTCGCGAACAACCAGTCGGCACACGCATTGTCCGCTTATACACTGTAAATCGAACTTGTACAGTTTGACTTCCTTTTAGTCTGCATTTCAGTATTTTACGTGTCTGTGATTTCAGTAACTGCTATTTTTTTTTTTTTTTTTTCAAAATATGGCTAAAAGTTACTTGTTTAAAAGTATGCCGCATTGCTTCAAGAAGCATCATACTGCAAATTAGTTCTTTGAACACTGAAAATATTTGATTTATATATTAAATATCATAAAATGTTTTGTGGAAATAAAAACATCAATAAATAAAAACAATTTTTTTATTACTTGAGGTATGATTATATTATTTATCACTGCGAAAAAGGTTCCCTGTGTGAAACGAATTCCATAAAATTTTATTCTCTGGTTAAGAGGTTAATCTTCTGGTATATTTTAAAAATACTCTACAAATACAAAAAACCCTCATTCACTTCAAGCCAATTTTTTCAAAATCCCGAACTCATGCAGCTAAATATGTACTTAAATTTCAAGCTAATACAGAAAGATGATACATTATTTGCAAAGTAACAAATATCTGTATTAGCACTTTCCCGCCTAGCCTGTTAAAGCGGTTAATGACGCTGATTGTGGACCGATTGAAGTAGTTCGAATCTCGGAGAAGACATGGATGCTTGTAAATGGCGAAAGTTCTCTCGAGAGGTTGATAGAAGAGGAAGGCGAGTAGCAAGGCCAGCAGTTATATGTAGGGGACTGCACAGGTGCCTCAACCATAACCTACGAGTATATTAGCATTTTGGAATAAAACTGAACAATCTACCTTTAGCGAACCATGTTAACATCAAATTTTGAGCAAAAAACAGAAAACATGCTGCTGAAACGTTGTTGAAAGACCCACCCCCACCCCACCCCGAAAAAGTGAACGGTAGAGTGGCATAGAATATTCAAAACTGGGACAGAAGAGCTAGAAGATGTGAAGAGCTGCCGCCACAAGCAGACAAACGAAAACAATAGTGAGAGATATTATTAAAGTTAACATAGGGCGAGATGAGATGCGATCCCGTTCCTCTCTGAAGAATTACAGATAATTCGGACTAATTTTAACTGGAATTTGAATATAATGAAAACATTTTGAAACTTATGATTCAATTTATGACTATTTGCGAAGTTTATGACATTCAAGTTAACAATGTTCTAACTGGGAGAGATTTTTCTGAGATAAATAGAAACTGCTTGGTTAAATCATTTTTCATTATTCACTTGATTTAGCATTTTATGATATCTTGAGATTTACAAAATTAAAACCTGAAGTGAAAGAATAAAGCCTTTGTAATGTAACTGATCTCCAGCATAATGTAAGAGTTTCTCAACATATGAATTCTATAAGTAAGACACAATAACACGCCGAACAAATACTAATTCAGAAGTCAAACATTCTGAATTATATGAATTCTATGCTTCCAAAAATTGGGACAGCCATCTAATTCAACGTATAGATACCATTAGCAGAAATAAGGAAAACACTAGAACCTCTTTTATCATCCAAGATGCAGAGGAGTAATGACAGTAGACTGAAGTGCTGAAATTGCAGAAGAGAGGGAACTTTTACAGAAACAATGTCAGTGTTTACAAAGTTCAAAAATAATTATTTAGAAAAACAGCCTATAAAAAAGCAGAAATTATTCAGTAAAGAAAAAGCTTAGTTTAACAAACTCAATATTCGACAAATATCTTCATTTCATGATGGAGAGCATTGACTGGAAGGAGAAAAAATGGTTCCCATTTTCTCATGATATTAGATACAGAAGCTAATGTTATAGTTTTATGATATGGTGTAATTCAGTGCAGGAACAAGAACTTTATTAGAGGTGATTATTACTTGAATGCCATTTCATACACATTGTCCATAGTGAGCCTTATTATTTGGCCACCACGATTAGATTTGTGATATCTGGGTTTCTTCTTCAGGGAACATTTTAATAAACTTGTACACGAGACTCCCACTGATTAAGCTGAGAATATGGTTATTAGATTTTATTTTGCCGTTTTGAGACACCTGGTACTTTCTAGAATCTACATCTATCAAGGCACTAGCGCTTTCAGGCGTTTACTATGACTGGTTGTTCTCTTTTTAGTATTTATTATAAAATAAGCTTGTAATCATCATTTGATTACTTGCTGAGATAACGTCATCTTGCTTCAGTTCCAACTATATGTTGTGTTACGAAAAATGTTTGTCTTCGAGTGTTCCATCTTCCTATAAAAACTGTCCTGTATATTTAGGAACTCCTTATATAACAGTGAGTGTTATACTAGCATGGCAAAATAGATAGATATTAACTTTTTATTTCGTTCTCAAAGTATTCTTCAATTAAAGTTATTAATTGTCAAAATAATTTATATAAATTATTGGTTATCTGATTTTTTGAAAAAATCCGATCGCTTGAGAATGTATATCTATATATAAATGCAAGCTCTAACGTTCCGATCCATTTGGAACAGAAGACATTCATTACAGTTACTGTCAATAACCAGAATAATAATGATACTGACATTTATGTTACACAACAAAGGTAACTTTTGTTTTGAGAATCTTCTGAATTCTACTCAGTCACAAAATTTATCTTTCGCCATACTGCTATCGATTTCTAAGTAGATTATGACATTTGTGCAGTTATCTGAAGGCTAATATTTCACTTTCAGCTCATTCAATTCCTAAACGAAGAAACGGAAATGCAATTAATGGTATCTTTTGTAAGCTAGATAAGATTATTTACTTTCTTCATAGTTTTTCTTCTCATCTTATGATAAAAAGAGTATATCGTTTTGCGAACGGATATCGCATTGCAGTTCGGGTAAAAAAAATTAAATTTCTAAATTTTGTTTTCTAATTTTCTTTCGAATGTGTAATAAATAACTAAATAGTTAAATGGTACTAATAGCCAGATTACAAACCTTTTTATTTTCAGAAATAAAAATCAAAATTTTAAACAAATAGTCAAGTGAAACTTAGTTTGAAATATTTCATGATACGTAACTACAGGAAATTATCAATTGTGAATCCTTATAAAGCAGTGGATCTCAACAACTTTTGCCCCATGACCCCTTCCACCATGGCTAGGCAATCATCTCTCCCTACTTTACTAAATTCGAAAAATACGTATACATGTTTTTTAAACTTGGGTTAATTTTTTAATGTTTTTTTAATTAAACAAAAAACTTGAATAAAAGTAATTTTTTATACTCATGAAATAAAACTAAATACTTAACAAATACTAACTAAATACATAAAAGACTAACCGCCTCCCCCCCTGAAAGCATGAAGTTTTCCCCCAGAGGAAAATTTCCCTCTGTTTAAGAGGAGTTATAGAGCATATGAATCCTGTTATAGAGCATATGAATCATGTCAATAAATTTTGAGGAAAAGGATACTGAGTTTATCTGATTTCTTAATCTTTATTTGTACCAAGAGTTTTTTAAAGTAAGATGCCTAGAACTACTTTAGAGCTAAATAATGAACTTCCTTGTGTGTGTGTGTTCAAATTTGTTCAAATTTCAATAATTTTTGTGTCAGAAATTTTATTCAAATTTTCCGTCAGAAATCACCAGGCATCGAAAATGCTTAAAATTCGATTAAAATTAGCTCAGATCTAATAATTACTATTGATTTTATTCTATATTTATGTCACTTGGTTTCATTTAACAACAATCATCTACAATTTGTAAAAACGTTTAAATATTGTTTCTATGCTGAAATATAATCATTTTGTTTTACTTACCATTTTAGAAACCTTCTTGATTTTTCTTGAATTCAGTTTCCTGTATTTATTCAGAATTGCTATTTCTCTTTCTTTCTCGGACCATTTATCAAACATTTCTCTTAATAAGGAGTCTACTTCTTCGCTACATTCCTGAATAAGAATGGTATAACTTATCAGAAGATAAAATATAAATATACAAGCAACATTTTATTCTTCTCTGTATAAAAGTCTACTTATCTAACTTTGTGAATTAAAAGGAGGAAATTTCTATCATTAAATCTTCTTAATTTCCTTTTTGATCATGTTGCATTATAAACTATCATGCGGTTTTATTCTATTATTAGTTAGTGGATTTGGATGAAATGAAGTTAATTTTTGAACATCTTCTACCGATCTATATTTGCGAAACTTTTTATACTTGTGTTTGCGATGACAATACAATATTTTTCAAAATCCTTTCCAAAATTCAATATAGAGATATTTAAATTTTTAATTATTTAGTGTAGCAAACGTGTGTTCGGTACTAATTAATTGCCCAGGTTTGGTGTTTTAAATACTAACCCATTGAAAAGTTCTGTTTGAAACACTAAATATAGGATGATTAATAGTTTTAATTTGTATTTTTATTATTTACTCCAGTTCTTACATTTTGATAACTAATTGCTCTCTCGAAGAAATTTCCTTATTGCAGCTGAATTATTTTGTGGAAGGTCAGTCAAACTGGTTTTAGTTAATTATAATTTAATTTTGAGTGAAGAAGTTCTCAAATTTATTTATCATAAGTGTCTAAAAGTCTTCTAAATTAAATTTCGCTTGTTTTTGAAATTTTTCATGACATTCATTCTTTGATTATTATTTTTTTTAATTTACTAACTTATGTCCATGCACATAAAGTTGCATTTAATGCCATACCTTAAATATTGTAAAATGTTAAAATAATACATTTCACTTAAAAATGTGGTTGTGACAGTAAATTTTCTGTTACATTTAATCATATCTATAAACATTGGTATACATCATTTTTCAATAATCTGTATATTATTTTGTGCATTTCTTTTACATCCAAGATCTGGCATATGACTTGCTTTTCAAACTGATAACATGGTGTAATAATGTAATCTAATGGTTAAAAGTTTACTATGGAACGGGCCAAATTTAATAAATTATTCTTTGATAGAAATTTATTCATGTGTTCAGTGTGTCTCATCTCTTTAAATTGCTAAAGTAAATTTTATGTACTTGCATTTAGGAATTTTGACTGTATCAGAGTAATTTTGTTTCAGTTATTATAACATGCAAGGGAAAAAATTCATTCATAGCTCCGTATTTAAAATTAGTTAATTAAAGTCCTTAATAAAGAGGGACGTTTTGTGTTTTTTTAATGTCGATAGAGTTTAATTCAAAAATATGCCACATTAAGGGTTACTTTTTAACCTAATTTAAAATTTTCATTACTTTAACATGTCCAATAATTGTTATTTTAACTAACTCCGATATTGTAATAATATCAAAATTCCTTACTTTTTGATAGGTAATCCAAATGTAAAACAAGAAAAGAAAAAATTAAAATCTAGAAGTATATTTATTTCATACCTCTAACAAATAAAAACAACACAAGCACTTTTTACTGTCTATCTGCATAGTGTGGCATGTCCCGTAAGACTGAGATTTGTATGGTCAAATCCATGTTTCAGTTAAAGGAAAATGCATGCACAGTCTTCTGATTTTCCCTTCGATTAAGGATTCTGTATATACTAGCATAAGAAATATATTAGTTAATGCAGTGTTATACATCAATATTTATAGACAATTATTGTGGCTATGTTTATTATAATTTTGTTCACTGTAATGGCTGGAGTGCCTAAACCATCATGCTGTGTAAACAAAACTCAAATCTTCATCTCTGCATACTGCTCCACTAGTGTTTAAACCACTGAAATGGTGATTATGGTAGAACATCTTTGGTAAAAATTTACTCTACTGTAACCCTTGGCGAATCGTTTCTTTTTTTTATATCAAGATCGTCACCTGAGAGGATCGGCACCAATTTCAAGGTGGCCGCTACACAAAACCAAAATAAGAAGTCAAAGACATACACAAACTCTGTGTCCATGTACACATCGACCTATTTTAACTTTAAAAAAAAAAAGAGAGAGAACTGCACAAACTAGGCATTGTGCACTGCCTTAACTTTGTCCATGTACACATTGATCTATTTTCACTTTAAGAAAATCAGAAAGTTAAAAATATCATGTTTACCAGAAAAAATTCGCCACTGTCTTAACACACAGAGACAACCAAAAATACACAAACAGAGAGGAATAAGTTACCAAAAATACATATTTCCTAACATAAAAACATTAAACAACAAATCTTCTAACAAAAATTAACACACAGAGACGAATAAATAAATGAAACGTCATTTTTTTAACATACCTTTTTTTTCACATGCATACGTTTAGGCTTCCCACCACCATCCTCCATCCTCCCAGCAATAATAAGCAATTCAATTCATTTTTCGTCATCTTTACGTCATCCTCAGAGGTCATCCTCAAAATTTTTCGTCCCTTAGTCACCGCAGACATACTCAAACGATGGTACCCACACCAAAATAATAGCATGTTCAAAATACAAGACCATACCACTTACCATACCACTTCCGTGCAACCAAACACAGCAATTGAAAAGAATGGTAAGAACCAAAAACCTGGGACCGTACAAAAGGTTTACTATTAAAAAAAGTAGCCCAAAACTAAATTTATCACAACACGTTGGCAATATTTGCAGAAATAACCCCTTTTTTATTGACAAAAACTTAATTTTTTTTCTTTTCCAAAGGCTACTTTCGCCAACATTATCAACATCAGGGTTACCGAAAAACTTGACGCAATGGGCTTCCAGATTTCACGAACAACCAATACCACTTTGCGATTTTTTCAGACAGAAACCAAGGTGTACCATACAGTAAAGATTAGCCACATCTTCATTTACTACTGTTACAACATAAAATATACTTCTTTGGTAAATTTCTGCAGTTAAATTCAAAAGTTTAAAATTGCATATTGCTTATCATGAACAGATTTTATTTTCTGCACGTAGCTAACAATTACTTATGTGTTGTCAGATAAATGTTACCAGATGCAGTTAATTATTTTTTACTTGCCAATCTCATGAGACAAGTTTTTTTTTTTTTTTTTTTTTTTTTTGCTCCTGCAAGACAACTTTACTTTGTGTTGCAAAATAAATTCATTCTCACTCTTTTTGGACTTGCCTACACATTAAATTTAAAATAGTTTTATGATTAGGTAAGATGTGATTATCATAATTTTGTTTCTCTCTCTTTATCTTGGCAACTTTATATATTGATTCGGTATCCAGGTTACCTACCAGTGGCTGATTGATAAAACTGCTCATATGTTCAGCTGGTGGTTTGAGTTTATTTTCTGACATAAAAAAATTTTAAAAGGCATCCCCCATGTTTATTTTACTATAATCGAATAATCAAATAATTGCTACTCTGTTTATAGGTACTAAATGTTAAAATATTTTAAATGCTTCCTTTAATTTGCATTCTAATAGTCATTTGTTTAAATTTAATTATGAATTATATTCACATATAGTAATTGTGAGTGTTTTTTTATTTTAGGTGCTGTGAAAGGCAATGGCAGAGATCCAGTTTATCAAGAGTTCTTATATACATAAGAATACATATTCCTCTTTTACATGGATATAAGATTATTTTTCAGGAATTTAAAGAAAATGTGATAAATTGGATTAATAAAAACTATTTTGAATTTTGAAAAGTGTTTTTCCTCTGTTAATCATAATATAGTGCCATAAATTTCTGAATGTGTTTATTTTTTCATCCAAATAAATAGCTTTACAAAAATTTGTCATATTAATAGATTATTATAATTATTATATTATAAGCAGATTTAGCTGAACTACTTTTTTTAGTCTCTCTTGCAGATGAAGTCACAAAGGTAAGTGGTTAGATATTTTTCTGTATTCCCCATTAAGTAATTTTATCTGGTAAATTACCATTACTTATATACTAAAGGTGAAAGAATAAGCTTTCCTTGAAGATACAAAAATTTGCAGATATTTCAAAAAATTGGTATACGTAAAAAAAATTCTTAAATTGCCACATATGCGAAACTGAAAATGTTATATATGAAATAGTTCAGAAATATAAATATTTTCACTATTTTTTAACTATAATTCACTGCATTTGTTATATATAATCACAGTTTAAGGTAGCAGTGCTTTTCTCACACTGTGATTTCTCATGTATTTTGATTCATAAATACACGTACATAAATCCACGTATTTGATTTCTCTTTTTGAGACCGAATAAAAAATGAACTAAACATTCTCGTTGACATTGAGAGTTGAATAAAAGCTCACCTCAAAATAAAATGAATTAATAAATTTATGGAAAATTTTACATTGCATATATTGAGCAGAAAGAGTAAACTGAATATACTTAATGGAATTAATAATTGGTAGAGTTGATAGCAGAATAAAATGCCTTAATTGCATGGTAAACAGTAGATCTTTTTTGAAGTTTTTCTATGTTGCGTAAAATGCAGATTTAAATTTTTTGATATTGATTGTCATATAAATGGCAATTACTGTTTTATTTTGCTCTGAAATGAATGGTTAGTAATAAAATTCTGGATGAGACAACCTTTAACATGCGCTAGAATTTACAAAGTTTTAATTTGGTGCTGATTTCAACGGGTAAATTTTCATTTTACTGAATTTTGCATAAAATAATACCAATGAACCAGTTGCAAATTATTTTCAAGAACTTTTTTTTTTAATCTAAAAGGGCTATTAGTTTTGAAATGTGACTTCATATCGTCAGTCGTAAACTTGTCTCGCTTTTCATTCAAGTCTTGCCATTTGGCAAAATTTAACTTATTTACCTTTAAAATCTAATATATTATTGATTAAAAGCCAAGCTATTTAAAAGCATTACACACACAGTTCTTAACAATGCTTTTTTTTTTTACTTTTTTAATTTTCTGATTGATTTAAAATGCATTTAATTCATGATATATCTAATTGAAAACATTTTAAATATTTTTACATAATTACATGATATATTTCTTCACTTTTTCAAATATATAGAAGATATATAACTT